TGTGTGTGTGTGTGTGTGTGTGTGAGTGTGTGAATTAGTGAAAGTCACTACCTATCCTATATCCACCCTTCTTAGTCATCAGTGACAAATCTCCAAAATCACAATCCTGAAATCCCAAAAGGTGTTTTGCCATCTTGACCTAACCGTACTCTTTCAACTAGCAAACCAAGTAGCTCCCAACGTCACAGTGCCTCTTATGGTATCAATCACACAAAATCAGACATAGGGGTCTCAGAGTTCCAATACTCCTGATCTCTCAGAAGCATCAAGCTTGTCCCTTGTACCTTCCCTGGGCAACCCAAGAGCAACATAAGCTATTTTTACAAAGTACTTTTACAGCCCCTTCTTAGACACAATGACAGAAGGAGCTGTTGGCTCTACTCTGCTCCATTCACACTCCCCTAACCTCTCCACAGGTACCTGCAGCTGCATGGCCACACTCTCGATTTCTTCTGAAATGATAGAGTAGAACATCCAAAAGTCTACACACGTCACCTGTGGGAGAAAGCACTGGAAGCTAAGACTCCTGATTTCTTTCATGAGGTACGTGTAAGAAATGAAATGGCCTCTAGAAGGCCACCTGGACTACCAGTGCGTCAGTTTCCTCTTCTCTGCAGTGGTGGGTGTGGCTAAGAAGGGCGTCATGGAGTCTGGTAAGAACTCCTCCCATCTCCCCCTTCTGGACATGATCTGGTAACTTATTTTACAAAATCATACGCATGAAGTTTCAGTACATGTTTACTCGCCTGCTCTTCCAAGCAGATCGCTACTCCTGAGTCCCTACAGCATAGAGATGTTGGTACTCACATTGGGTTGGCACTAATGATTGTCTGCCTCAAAAATTCTATTTGAGAGAGAAGCTATGAGTGAGAATATTTTCATTTCAGTAAACTTAGCTAGCATAATTTTGTAGGCAGCGGCACCGCAGCCTGCATCCTGTTAGGCCAGGCCAGTCCACACTGGTAATTACTGTGCTGAATTAAAGAAGCCCTTGGCTACCTGCCTCGTGCATGCAACAAGTTCCTTTTTTATCCTGTTTATCTTCACAGTCATCTATTTGTGTCAAGAAAGGAAACATATGAGCGTAGCATCTGCTACTAGAGTGACACAATTACCAAATACTTCTATAAGGGAAAAAAAAAATCCACAATAAATCCGGGTTAGTTGTCAGGTGTTTGAGAAGACAAAACATTAGTCTTTCAATCATGGTGTCTTGTTTAAGCTGAGCATATGGTGCTAAACAGCAGAGAAGCGCCAGCTCAGCCTGGTCGCTGACGGGCATAACGACCACAGAAATGTCACCTCCTCTAAACTGGCAGAGGAAAGCAGGTTTCTCTCCCCCCGGCCCAGCCTCTCCCTCCCTGTAATAAAGCAGGTACAAATTAAAGGGACTGCATCATTGCTGACTTTGTTCCAAGTGTTCGGACACAAGTACATCCAATGGCAGGTACGGGAGAGTCCTTTAGTTTTCCCACTGTCTAATTTAGCAGAGATGCAAGCTAAATAAATGCAAGCCAAAACAAAAGTCATAATTCAAGGCAATTCATTATTGGTTATTTTCCCACTACTATTGCAAACTATGCAAGCTGTATGTCTAATTTGGGAAAATCCCTTCCTTTTTCCACAATAAAACATAGACAACTTACAGGTGACCCTGTCCATACTGCAACTGTTACTTGTTTGGCTTTTTTTCTAGATACCATCAACAGGCCTATGGGATGTTTTCCTAAATGTGTCTTACTTTCATGATTTAGTCTTTAGAACAGGGAGAGGGGCAGAGAGAGAGGAGAGGAGAGGAGAGAGTGAGGCAGGTGTTCGAGATTGAGACACCACATTACTCCCAAAGAGCAGTCACTGGCAAACTGCAGGGAAGACACTGAACTTGTTCCAGGGAAGCCCTGGAGTTCTCTACCTCCTGCCACTACTTCAAACCTGGCGGACCGCGCGCCCGGCTTCACTTCTGCTGGAGCCCGGCTGCGGCCCCGCGCCCCCGCCACGCGCCCGGGGGAGCCGCGCCAGGTGGCAGCGAGCCTTTACCTGCCAGGCTGCCCGGCCTCTGAAGGGTGGCCGTGGCATACAGCTCCTGCGAGTGCTTGCTGTACTGCTCGGACGCGTGGACCAGGCGCTTGGTGGGCGACAGGGTGGCGTACGTGCCGATGGTGGAGCTCAGCTGGTGGATGGGCGAGGAGGAGATGGTGGACTGCACGGTGGGGGGCGAGGTCACGCGGATCGGGGACAGGCCGGCCGAGGACACGACGATGTTGATGGGCGAGCTGGTGCTGTAGGACTTGGCCAGGCGGCTGGGCGACTGCTTGGGCGAGGAGCCGCGCGGCGCGGCGTAGGTGGCGCCCTCGGGGGCCGAGCCGCCGCGCTGCAGCTTGGTGGGCGAGCCGCCCTGGGGCGCGGCCAGCGGGGAGCCCCCGCGCGGTGGCGCGGGCAGCGTGGAGCTGGAGTAGTAGAGCGCGGCGGAGGCGGGCGGCGCGTCGGGCAGGTGGAAGGCGCTGCCCAGGCTGGGCGCGAACGGCTCCCGCGGCGGCGGCGGCGGCGGCGGCGCGGGCTCGGGCCCCGCCAGGTGGCCGGCGCGGCTGGTCGTGCCCTGTGCCCGGGAGAGGAGAGAACACGCGCACTTAGCGAGGGAGAAGAACCCGGCCCACCCTGCCCAGCCCGGCCCGAGCGCAGGGAGACACCCGGGACACCGCGGGCGCCCGGCAGCTTGGCGAGCCCAGCTGCGCTCGGGGCGGGACGCGAACCTGTGCCCCGGCCTCTCCTGGGGCGGGTTTCTGGTCCCAACTCTGGCACAGGCCAGCTGACTACTGGAAGGAAGTCACGTTTGACAAAAGAGACCTGTGTTCGCTTACATGTCGAAGTTATTTCGGGAATAGCAGAAGCATCGCATTAGTCACGTACAGATTTTAAAAGGCCCCCGACAGGGTAATCATGATCTCCCTGGACGCGATCAAGATCTGTTAGTTTTAATGAGAAATTCGAGCAGTAAATCTTCTTCGGTCCCCACTTCCCACCCTTGCCTCAGGTCATTTCATTGGATACACTTTCTGCCTCCGAAAATAGTCCAGTTTCATACTTATCTGGAGAACATCAAGAATAAACATACTTCTTACAGTTTATTCTGCCGCTATTGCCGCGTGGATTCTTCTTTTTGGACAAAGAAAAGTTAAACGGAGGGAAAAATATTAAGTCAGAATGAATTCGCTTGGTCTTTTCAGCATTAAAAAAAAAAAATTCTAGAGGAATCAGAGCAATTGGAAATGAGAACACGAAAAAAAACCTCCCTTTTCTAGATTTTAACACTGAGCTCCCAATCTTTCAGCATCTTTCTCTCTCTCTCTAGCTCCCTTTAAGAGCCCCCTGCAGCTGTGTCTTCAAACTGAAAGCCAGTCGCCTCTCATTTATTTACAAGAACACAAAAGACAACAAGGGCTGGGGAGGAGCTGGAGAGACAGTTGGAGGGGAAAGCACTTTCCCTGAATCTGGTCCAGAGACAAATTTGCATTCCAGTGAAAACACTACATTGTCAACCACTTCTGGGCAGGAGGTCTCAGATCTTCCAGGCTTTCCCGGGGGAGCCTACCGGTGTGAAAATGGGGTAGAATTGTACACTTAGTTGGAGAGAAGCTGGGAAGGAGGGTTTTGAAATGAGGGGTGGGAGGTGAGTGGGGAGGAGGACTCAGGAGAGATGGAGGGAAGGGAGGAAGAGAAGACTGAACAGATGCTAGCCATTAAAAGTTTCAATTATGCCTCTCCACCCGTTTTGGAATAGCAAGTGGCAAATAATAGACTGGGCACTTACATCTGCACATACACAGCCATTCCAAATTTTAGCTGGGATGTCAAGTTCATGTGCAGAGCTGAGGGAGTTAATTGAGCAATATTGAAATCCTGTATTAGGAGGAGCCTGGCATAGGAGGTAGATAAAACACTTTGGTGAGAGACATTCTCTATGCAGTGTGTATGTATGTGTATGCATATGTATTTATGTATGGTGTATATATTTTAAATATTCTCAGATACACACAAACACACATGCAACCCATAAAGCAATTATTTTAACATTTAGAGTGAAAGTAAAATGTAAGCTCCATAAGTTTGTTCAGTGACGTGTCTCCAGCAACTAGAACAGGGTAGAGATACCAGGATTATTTGTGGAATGTTTCCTAGAGTTAGTCTCAAGGCTATGAGGGCCTTATGTGTGAAGGATGGGGGACGAACACTGCAGATGTGGGTGTGCTTACTCTGAACCCCAGAGAAATAGTCCAGCTTCATCCAGAGTCACTGAGGGGCAGCTTTGATGCAATTTTGCTTCTCTCCCAGTGGGCAGCTCTCAGCATGAAACGTATGTTAAATAGACTGGGCTTCTCAAATCTAGCTGTATATTACAATCTCCAGGGTAGCTTTTTTTTTTTTTTNAAAAAAAAAGAATCTCCATACTCATGGCTTAACATTGCTGTTTAATTCAGTATCCCTGAAGGTGAGACCCATCTATCAGGTGTTTTTGAAAAGCTCAGCAGGTGATTTCAACTTGCAACCAAACATGAGTCCCAGCTGCCCCTAGACCAGTGGTTTTCAAAGGGAGGCCCCTGTTCCTGCAGCTGCAGCATCAGTGTGGAACGTCTTTTCAGTATTAAAAAACATTCTAGATGAGTCAGAGAAATCAGAATCATACCCCACCTTAGCTCTGGGGGAGGGGCCGAGGGATCCGGATTTTAACAAGCACTCCCCCTGGTGATTACAGTGCTGGTCAAAGTTTGCCAACACTGCTCTAGAAGACACTTGGATTTGGAGGGTCTGGAGTGGGCCCCAGAGTCTGCATTTCTAACAATCTCCTAGAGCAGGCAGATGCTGCTGCTCTGAGAATTACTGCTAAGCTGCAGACATTTTTCTTCTGAAGCTCTACTGGGGTTCCCTATCAACTGGGGCCTGAGTAACACTCAGCCATGCAGAACACAGCTGGCAAGTGATGGAAAAGCGTCTGACAAAAATTTCTGAAAACCCTTCACACAGGAACAAAATGAGAAGAAAGAACCCTTTCTCTAAGGTCTCAGGAGCACTCTCTGCTCCCTGTTTACAACAAAACAAAACAATTTTGTTATATCTTGGATATGCCATATTAATAAAACAACCTTAGAGTACACTAATGATCCCATTAACAAACAGCATAATTTTAATAAGTATTAACTAAAGCATACAAATGTAAATGAGAATAATATTAAGTCATATTCATTAAATATCTAAATATTAGAACAACATGTATCCTGTGAAAATCCTAATACTTTTTACAAATATTTTCTTTTTCTTGTCACCTGTCAGCACATCTAGTGTCAGGAGTACTAAGTGCTCAATATGACTGTCTCCTACGTTTTCTAAATGGATCCCAAATCTGTAGAAGTTTCGAGAACTGCCACATGAGCTGCAGACATTTTGACAAGCTACAGCAACCAATTAGAAAGTCTTTTAGATAATACAGGATCTTGTGAAATTGTGCAAATCATTTTGGCATGAGAAAATAAAAATAAAAATAAAATGTTAGATACTGTTTAAGATAGTTAAGTGGTATTGTCCACTATGTACTAAAATGCAATTCCAAAAAGACCTCCTGAATCCATTTGTGTAAAAAGTCACCATCAACTAGAGAGTGTTCTCAGGAGCACCAGCTACACTGGTGAGTTACCAGCAGTGCTTTCTACACTGTAGAGAATGTTCTAAATCTGTACTGGTCAATATGGCACCACTGAACATATGGGCCAACTGACAGCTTGAAATGTGGCTAATCAGCTGAGGAACTTTAGTACACATGTCATTTTAATTAATTTAAACAGCCACATGCGACTAGTGGCCACCTTCTTGAACAGCACAGTTGTCTAATAAATAATCCAGGGGTGATATATTCCATTCCAATGGCTTATAGAGTAAAAATGCCCAAGAATGCTTTGGCTAAATAGAGAAATTTGTTTTGTAGCATCATTTGAATAAAAACAAAATTTGGGGAGCCTCTTTCTACTTTTGTGCTTACATTTTCTTCCATTACCTAATTTGATTTAGTAACTCTTAGCCAGTTAGGGATACCTGAGGCTGCCATTCAAGCCTGCTGCACAATCATAGGATAGTTTATTACTACCCATCATTTCATTAGAAATAGTAGAAACACATTTCAAAACATATAGAATTGTACTCACTTTAGTGTCAGAAAGTTCAATTCTACCTTAAAAGTATGTTAGCACTCTAAAACTGCAAATCTAATTTTAAAAAGTTAGAATTCAAGTAAAGTTTCTTTTTTTTGTGTGTGTGTAAACTTAAGACTACTACACACTGCTTCTCTGGGGATATTTGGAAATGTGTGTGTGCATGCAAGGACGGCTGAAATATTTTTTTTATTGATGTGTGGCTCTGAAAATAAAAAATGATATAACAAAGTTAGAAATACTTGGAATAGATTAAGCCCTAACCTTGGTCACCAATCTAGGCTGTTGGCAGAGACAATTCTTGACTCGGTCTTCATTCTCAGCCGTTTGGATCAGTCTCAGCCCAGAGGGATACTTTGTCTTTCCCACCCCTTCAAAATAAGAAACCCATCTATGAGAAATGAATAAGGAAGCAGGATGTTCACAGATAAGCAACTCCATCAAGGAGATGTTCTGACTAAATAGTTTTAACGGGCAGAGTATGGCGCACCTTCAATATAGTTCAGTTCCTGCTTCCCTGATGGAAAATTTTCAAGAAAAATATGGAACACTAACTCATCAAAGCTATTACAAATTGTTTCATCTGTATACATATGTTTCAGATGAGTCAGGTTTAGGATATATTCAAGGTCACACTTTTTACATTATATTGTATATGTGTATATACTTAGTGGTATATTGAGTCCTCTTGTGTAATTGTAGATGCATTTATACCTATTCTATAGAACTGCTTAAGGGGAGGATGTATTTACGAAGTGTAGTAGAAAAAATATTGAAATGGGAAGTTAGGGAATACGTACATTATTCTAACAGCCATTGATTAACAGTACTCCAGTTCGATGCAGTAATTTACTCGCTGACTCAATAAACCATTAAAAGCGCCTACTACAGGCTGGGCATCCCTACTCTGAAAATCCAAAATCTGAAATCCAAAAATCCAAAACATTTTGAGCACTGATGTGAATGTCACAGTAGAAAATTCTACACCTTTGCTTTCTGTGGGTTTAAGGTAATATAAACTTTGTTTCATCTATATTATTTAAAATGTTGTATAAACTTACCTTCAGGCAGTAAGATATATATGAAATACAAATGAATTTTGTCTTTAGACTTGGGGGGGGTTCATCCCCAATATATCTTATTATGTATATGCAAGTATTCTAAAATCTTCCCCCAAAAACCTGAAATCCAAAACACTGCTGGTCCCCTGCATTTAAACAGGGATGCTTGACCTGTCTGTGCCACGTACAAATAAGGAGTTTGTTTTTGAAGAGTTCTCAATACTTCCCTTATATGGAGTATTTTACTTTGATGTGATTTTGGAGATCTATCAGTATATTTTTGTTTGTGCAGAATACTATGTAGCTCACAATTATGACATTGTTCTTGGGGAAGTAGG